GTTTTAGTGGGTCAATGTCAGTTGGTGCTGAAGAGGCCACCGGTACGCCTGCATCTCAGCTAGGCCTGCAACCTTGAGTCGTACTTGCCATGTATAGGCAGAGAGCTGGTATAGGCCTATCAGTCTTCAACTCTTCACAATAGGCTCAGGCGACCCTCAGTATACTTAGGCAGGGGATGTGTGATTTGCAGTTTGGTATCAAGTTTCAGCTCTGTCTGACATTCTTCGACCTTATGTTAGCAGATGTGAGGCGGCGAAATTTATACGAGCTTACGTTACCACAGTTATTAATATAATATTATGATTAGGCCCGCCCCATATTAGATCCGACTGATCAAAGCAAAGCTAGATCTAGTAATAATTGTTAAGAGGATTGTTCAGTCAGAACAGATGAAATTGTTTGGTAATCCACATTTTAAAAAAAAATCCATGTCCTGCAGTGATGGCACATAGATATCTAATTAGGCTAACTAGGTCAGATTGTGTCAGAAAATGACCGTGGCGGCGACAGCAAGGACATCTGTTTCATATTACACATAATTACATGTACTACTATTGTAATCAACTGTATATTGTACGTAATAATAACATAATATATACAGGCATCTGTGGTGTAGCCATAAGGCGCTTCGCAATGTCACACAGGAGACCAAATTCGATTCCCGGGTGGAGGAAATTTCTGTCGAATATCCTGTCTTTCTACAAGTTCTATGTTGCATCGCTTTCAGTCCCTCTTTTTTCTTTTTTTTTTTTAAATATAAATTTGCTTTAGGCTAACATCAAATAAAACGTGTTGAAATCTTAGTTTGCAGTGACGTTTATGAACGGGCGTTTCGATTCTGTTGGTCATCCAAGTGTTGGACTCGTAGCAAAGATCTGAGGATGTTGAACAGAGGGATTTGCTTGTTCGCTTTCATCTGACCGTGTTTTAAAAAATCTAGCTTATTTACTAATTGAACCTATACCCACAAAGCTTTGCATGGCACTTCTGCAGGACAGCGACCAAACAAAAATAGTTTTTCAAAAGATCATGATCCAGTACCGGAACTTTAAAAGTTTGTTGTTTTTTTCTCTTTGGGACCTATATTAAATACTGCTCACTGGGTGCATGCACAGGATCGCTAAAATAAATTACTTATGCGGCCTCACACGACTGTACGGGCAGTCCTTAGGATCTGCGATCGGAAGGCGATCCTTGGCGCCGCCTTGAGGCCGCCTTGAGGCCGCCTTGAGTGTTGTCCTGAGGCCCGCTGAGGCGACCTGTGTCAAGTGCAAATACACGGCACAGGACAGGACTGTGCAAATATAATGTTCACATTCCATCGTGGCGACCCACCAGGCTAAACTTTCGCGGGGAAGTCCAGTAATATGTCTATATTGGAAAAAGAAACACACACAAAAAAAGGATTTGGTCCAAAAGTGGCTTCTCCGTAGGTCTTAACACACACATGCACACACACACACATACACACACACACACACACACACACACACACACACACACACACACACGCGCGCGCGCGCGCGCGCGCACTCTCTCTCTCTCTCTCTCTCTCTCTCTCTCTCTCTCTCTCTCTCTCTCTCACACACACACACACACACACACACACACACACACATCAACTTCCTTCGTGAATAGATGGATTATTCTTCAGAGACTACCTTATTTTTGTAATGGCACTGTTCCTATCGACATTTGCGTACTTACATGCTCCTCACATGCTGTGTCCTTGAATTGCCTGTTACTGTACTCTTTTCACTTAATTTTCCAAAGGCATTGATGTTGTTTTTGTTGTTTGTTGTTGTTTTTTGTGGTTTATTTGTTTGTTTGTACATTGTCTCTTGACCACGTTGCCATTTTCTTTCATTAAAATATCTACTCAGCATAGATCTATTGGCCTCATGGTAAATTCAGGGGAGGACAGAATCCGGACAGACCTTGTTCAGTCCTTGCACAGGCCGAGGATTTGCTTTGATTTCGGCCAGGGCTTGGCCTGTATGAGGTCTGCACTGTCCAATTATTGAGGTCGGGCCTTGGGGACGGCCTGTGTCGTGTGTAGCCCGCTTTACAGACAGTGACCTAGTCTTCAAATTGCTCATTTTGAAACAGTAATTACACACCACCCTGCCCCCATATTTCAGTTTTAGATTGGAGATTTCATCCCTCCACTGTCTAGACGTCTCCACGTGTTCAATGTGAGTCTCGAAAATTATACTCACCCTGTCTCAAGCGGCCCATAGATCTAGGGCCTTGACAGACGAGATGTAAAAATCGCAGCAGTTGTTACTGTGGGCAATGGGACCGGTGACGAGGACAATACGCGTTTTCTTCAGTCCTGGCGTAACACACGTGTGTCGCTCAAATTCTGCTACTGCGCGACACACCAGCGTTTTGGTGAAGCACACTGTTCAAATCAAGGGAAGCAGACACACGAGATGTATTTACTAGATCTACCTGCAATAGTTATTTTTTCTCTCGTTTTTCTTTCAAGCTGACAATATTCCCTGTGCAACCCATGTCTTCTGATTACGAAACAGAGCGCTTGGTTTAGGAAATAAAGAGTAGAAACATCATTTGGGACAACACAAGTGAGGAATAATATTTTTTTTAAAGATGCTTGGGAAGAGATGTATGCCTAGCACTCAGACCAGAATACAATGATGCAAGAAATTGAAAAATTTGGACTCATCTTCTTGAAGTTCTTCATAAGGTGTAAAACTGTCCTCTTTGTAATCTGTGAGAAAGAATGGGATGAACCCAAAATCTTCTTTGTTACTTTCTTTTTATACATATTCTTATCACCATGATCAAGGCCACCCTGACTCTCCGATCGTCCGTGTTGAACTGAGCATAACTGAGCAGTAGGCTAGCGTTACATGTCGTCCAGTGTAATTCCACACAAAAGTAATCGACACTTTCTGCGCAGAAGTTTCTGCTCGACAATTCTAGGTCGTCTGTCAAGGCCTATACACGATCAATTATATAGTGCATTCCTGGTTCCACAATATAATTGACAGTTTTTCTTTACCCACACACACCTCAATATAATTGACATTTTAGTTGCTCATTATAGTCTTGCAACCCGATGAGACAGGATGGGTGATTTCGACGCAGCAAGCGCTGCGGCAGTTGCTCTTGCTGCAGAAAACGAAGTTAAACGTGCGAAATGGTCATAAGAATGGCTTCTGCAGGGTTCAAAGTTAGGACACACAAAGTTACAACGTGAACTGAGATATAATGAGCCACAACATTTTCAAAACTTTCTGCGCATGAATGTCGGATTCTACAATGAGCTGTTGCAAATGGTGGAGACCCTGATCGGAGAGCAAACTGCCAATATTATGCGTGAGCCCATCTCTCCTACGAAACGTTTATAAATTAGTAGATATCTACACTGCGTTACTTGGCTACAAGAAATACATTTGAGGATCTGAAGTTCGTCATTGCAATTGCGACGCAAACCATCGGCAAAATTGTGATTGAAACCTGTGAAGCCATTATCAACTGCCTTCATGAGTACTTAAAGGTAAGAAATTTCATGTAAAAGATGTTTCCGTTTGTTCTTTATAATTCGTTATTAATCTTTCCATCATAAAACGGTTAAAATCAACTACATAACCTTAACATGACTTGTGCTCAACTAAATTTCGTCTGCGAAATCGTTGAACATCGCTCAGCATCCACCTCATGACTAGGCCTACATATTATCTCTGTTCTAAGGTGCTGTGATCCCTTATTCAAACTTAATCATAAATAATTATTTGCTGAAGTCACAGTAGATCTAGTTGAGAAATGTTGTACTAGTGTGGTAAAATTTTCATGTAAAATCAAACATCAACAAGACAATAGTTGAAATTACCAAATCTAAGTTTAATTAGAAAGAGAACAACGAATGAAATTACGAGAAACAATAATGAATAATGTCAAAGTTGTGTCGTCTGCGGCCACCACACAGGTATCATATGAAGATAAAAATAAGAATTGCTGCAAACGAAGAAATCATTGTCAACGCATTGATGAAATTACTGAAGACACAAAATGTTATCAGTCTGCATCATAGTGTAGAGTTTACTTGAATTCTAAGAATTTGGGATTAAAGCTCAAGAAGTAATTGGCCGGAGAATACAATTACAACTATTAGTATCCATCTTGAGTGTTGCTCGAGAGCCCCACTTGTTGGGCTACATGTAGATAGTTGCGCCTACAGCGACACAGTTTGAAGAAGGTACAAATGTCGGGGACTGATCAGACATAGTCGAAGATGGTGTAACTGGCCGGCTATGCATCTAAATTGTCATCGTTTATTTTGACCGAATTCATTTTAAATATACCCGTCTGCCCCTCAAAAAGTGTATCATTGATAGCTTTCTTCGCGAACAACTGCTGGTCAGGAGGCATCGTTGAGAGTTCAGCTGCCCATGTCTTTGCTTGGCTAAGATTTACATCTTCAGGACCTCGGTGTAGTCGTTCAGTGGCAAGCTGCAGAAGTTCTTCCCGTGCAGTATTCTTAAATTCTTAAACCAAACTTCTCGATTTCATCCGTTTGGCAGGAGTCTGAAGAGACTCCTTCCTCGGGGAAGGTGTAGGCGCCTGTGGTAACTGTGGCTCTACAAGCATGTTGTTGCGGTGAACGTATGTTTCCATTTCTGCCGTATCATCCTGTGAACGTAGAATTGTTTGTATCATTTTCAATTCATCATGCGAAAGAGGCATTATTATATGAGTGTTGGGTTACTGCGAGAAGTTATCTCATAAAAAAGCAAAATTTTATTAGTCAACGAGGTGCGAAGTGAGTTGTCCAATGGAGATAACCTCTCGCTGTCAACCAACACTCCTGTAATAATGCCATTATCATTAGGTCTGTACTGTAAACAGAAAGAACTATCTTTTTCTGCTGATTATGCTAAAGAGAAAACTGGACAGCAGTTAATGAATTAATGATTAGCTTTACTGATGGTTTTTTAAAGTGTACGTGTCAACGGGTGTCTAAATGGAAAAGATCGAAATATCGTGACCTAATGATAATATATACCGTTTTTAATTCAGTTAAAACAAAACTCCTTTAAATTTCTTTTCCAGATGCCACAATCCGCAGATGACGGCTGAAAGTTTCTCAAGGATTTTGAAAAAAAAAAAGGAATTTTCCGCACGATCTGGGTGCTGTAGATGGGAAACATACTGCCACAAAGAAACCACCTGGAAGTTCTGTAGCATCGTGTTCATGGCCGCCCTTAATAGATTCCAACTATGCCTGATTTATAGTCGCCGATGTTGGTGTATACAAAACAAAACGTCACCATGGAAGGGATTTTTGGGGCTAATTTTTGTTGATATTTTCCTGGCTGTACAGGACCGTAAAAACACATGTAGGTATACATAAAAAATTCAAATTATATATTATATTAATCTCATTAAAATTCAATATGAAAAGAAAAGTAAAGCTGACAAAATATACATATCACATCAGAGGCATCATTCAACCACATGCAGGAATCCAGATACAAGACCTCTGGAGCAGTAGATACATCTCCAAGAGCAACACACATCTATGTTCATTCTGAAAAAAGCCTTATTATGCTAGATGGTAAAAAAACTTGTTTTATTTATGCCTTTCTTTCTTTGTTTTTGGATGTACATATCTGCCGCAGCGTGATCTTACAATCTGTGTGGAAAGGGGGTGTGATGGGTCGTTTATAATGCTTTTTATTTTTCTTATCGTGTGTTTATATACATTTCATCCATTCTATTAAAAATCAGCCAAACGGAATTTTCACTGATTTCTTTTGCCCGGAGGAGGAAAATCGTTCTGGCCGTTTCTGTCTTGTGTGTCCACTCAGTTCGAAAAAGACACGTCAAGTCTGTCGGTCTACTTATTCCCCGAATGTATACAAATGTACTAGACCACTGTCGTGGCGGGCTGTGTTCTCGGTACTGGGCTCAAAAGGTCACATGAACCAAAGGCGGGGAAAAGAAACGTTTGGGTTTTAAAGGAAAATTGGTAAAATTGTTAATATGCAATTAAACCACATGGTTTGCGAATAGACTTTGCTCATTTTGAGGAGCTGGTTACGAAATATGACCTTAGATTTTTAATTCAAACTTAAAATTAGAAAATTTTTTTAGCCCCGGCGGGGCCTATGGCTGATAAGTCACCACCCGGCCAGGCTAAAATGCAGCAAGCGGCCTTCCAACCAACACGTTTTTTTGTCGGAACGTTTCGTGTCGTGTTTGTTGACACAGCCAAACGAAATCTTAACTGATTTCTTTGGAAATAAACGGAGCTCCATTTCAACTACCGACTTTCCGAAAGACGGACGGGAGTGGGTCGGTTGGAGTCTGTCCCAGTGGACACAAGCCCTTTCGTTGAGGAAGGCAAGGGCATTGAAATACCACAAAGTTGGTTCATAAACCTGGTCCGTCCCTTCACCAAACTTGTCTGAGTCAAGCACTTTCTTTATTTCCTTGCGATAATTTGTTCTTTAGATATTGATCCTTTTTTGGTAGTTTGGGGTTGTTCTTGTTGTTTGTTTGTTTGTTTGTTAATGTTTGTTTGTTGGTTGTTGGGTGTTTTGTTTTGTTTTGTTTTGTTTGGGGGGGGTTGACATCTTCTCTTGTATAGTTTTGGTACTTTTCCTGGAATTCAATCAAGAGGCCTACGCTGTAAGCTGCATCTTTCTTTTGTCTGTTGCTCTAATCGACACACTTCACTATAGGGCTGGTAAACTTTTGTAAACCTCGATACACTCCAATTGAAATGCCCTGTCTTCTTCATTTTTAGATATTCCAGACATGATGACGGTATGAAATCTGGAAGAAAAATTATTATTGCACAATTTAATTGACGGTCGCCACACACGGTCAATTTAATTGTGCAAGCAAGTAGATGGGCAATAAAATATCAAACTGATTTTGATTGACACAATACAATTGCGCAAGTCGTCAATATCGCCCATACGCGGACAATTTAAAAGTCATTTCCTTGTATTGACTATTAAATTACACAATGTAATTGCTCATGTATAGGCCGCTTTAGGCGTAGATGTCTACGTTTAAAATGTGGTGTTGATGAAAATATGTCTTTTTTATGTTTTAGGTGTATGCTGTAGACCCCTTCTTTTTTGTTTCTTTTTTTGTGGGGGGGGAGGGGGGGTTGTTGTTTTAGGCTTTCAATTAGCGAAAGCGTGTCGGAACCTTGATTTTTCAGCGACCTTAATAAATGGGCTTTTATGTTCTGTTGGTCATCCAACTTTTAGACCTGTATGCCAAGATCTAAGAATATTAAACAGAACAATTTTATTTCATCTTGTTAGACGAAAGTGAACAAAGTGTTATAGCTTACTGCGGTCACAAAATTGAACAAACTATAGGCCTACAAGGTACTACTCTTTGAACTCAGGTCAAGGGAGACAACGAGGCATGATTGCATGGGAGAAAAGCGTGGTAAAAATTTCACTAACCGCAAGAAAAAGAATCTAATTGCATTGACACGTTTGTTACGTTATAAGACTTTGGCCTACATCTCGGCCTATATAGAGATCTCACTTGCACGCCTTTCACGAACGCTGCGACGATATCAGAGCTACATTTCTCCCCCC